GATCAGTCATGTGCCTCTAACTACGTTCCTTGAGTTTTCAAAGGTTATATATAGCAAACTTATTCTCACTGGATTTTTTCAAGAAAAAAAATTGCTTACCTTGGGTTATGGAGCCATTTGTTTGCAAAAATAATAATTAATATGTGGGACAGAAGAAAAAAAAGACACATTCAGACCAGAGATACACTAAAAAATATGAGGTTTTAACTGAAAAACAGTGATTTCTTGAAATGAATTTCTTATGCAAATCTTTGCTTGAAATCCTGGTTTTATTCAAAACAGGAATTTAAACACAAAGAAAATCACTGTCTTTAATGGTGTACTATGAAGTTAGCTTTCCTTACTTCAGTATAATTAATATTTATTTATACAACAGAAAAGAGCTCTTGCTCTGCCTTTTTAATATAGAAAAAGGAAATTAAGAATTTTTTTCTTTCACTGAAGAAAAAACTAGTAGAAGGAGGAAGCCTGTAGATAAGATCATCAAAAAAAAAAAAAAAACCAAAAGCCAGAAGAGCTTCTCTGCAAAGTTCACAAAAATGTGAAAAAAATGAAAGAAGTTAACAGACTGAAAGGAAGAGTCTGATGGGAAGGTGAAAAGATGCCAGAAAGGAATAAAAGACAAATAAGAAGCATAGGAAGACAAAGCACACACACTCACACAGAAGAAGAAAGAGGAAGGAGTTGGGAGTAAGGCACTAATTTTCACTTTTTTTTTTTTTAACTGAGTATATTTCTACTTTTGAATACTGAAACTGGTCCAGAGAAACTTGAATCAAGCAATTTTGATAGATATTGCCCAGGCATCTGAATAGTGAACTGGCTGCTGAAAACAGAAACGCTAATCTGAAAGTTAAATTGTATTTTGGAGAAGAGAAAGATGAGAAAATAAGCAAGGATGGAGACTGGACAGAGATGGAGATTGGCAGAGGAGCTACAGTAGATAAGTGAGCGTGAAAATGAGAGTAGGTAACCAAACAGCTAACCAAAATAGAGAATCTCTATCAAAAATGACACTTTGTGGGAGCATTGCCACTGCCTGGCTTTAGACACATAGGTGCACAAATCAGGTGGTGAGTCTCTCTACATGGTGAACACTTGGCTTCTGCTCTTGGTTGTTTCTAAGGAAGTGGTCCATCTCCACTGACATTACGTGTCGTCTCGCTTACTAATTCAGGCACCTAAATTAGCCACATCAGGTATGAGTACCCCCAACCCCATCATTTTAACAGCATTCCTACCCATGAGCCTTGCAAAGACAGTGGGACGTATCAGGGGGTGTCAGGAAAGGTGGCATTGCCCCACCGAAGGAGGAACACATTGGAAATACAGCTTTCTTCAGGGAAAAATAGCAGAGGAGAGGGAACACAGAAAATGAGAGGCCTCATCTAAACTCAGTGACATCAGTGAAAATGACCTTGGCAAATTCTTCAGCAGAATTTGGCCTCTTAATAAATCTAATTCATTTGAAGCTTAGCATTCACATTGTAAAACTGAAAATACGGGAAAATATTTAGAGATAATATCTTACAATACTTTTCAGACAAATAAGCAGCTCGGCTGGAGACTAGAACTACGTGAGTGCTACATAATGCTGTGTCACTGGTAGAAATGACTTCAGGGCCAGCAGAGCTGACCCATCAGAAAGAGCTTACTGTTTTGAATATCCCCTATGTGCAAGGAAGTTTTGTCGTTACGTTGCACTTGTGGGTTAACACCCCCAAAATCAGGACATTAAAAAGCATTTTTAATGGGCAAAGATCCCAGTTACGTCCCTGGCTCAGCAGGGTGCATAAGCACATGTCCTGTTCAGTGCGATTTAAGCATGTTCTTGGAGACTTTGCCCAGCTGGGGCCTGGAACACCAGCTACTCTCAAATCCTTTCAAAAAAACCTTTTTCTTTCTGCTTGCAGAGATGCCGAAGAGCAGAGGTAGAACCTAGACTTAATGTCACAGAAATGGACAGTAGTCGGTGCATTTTAATATACAGAGAAAACACATAAAGCTAGTTTTTTAAGCTGTGATTTGTGGCTTGAGGTAAACTAGCTAATTTTAGGTTTAAAAAAAATTACCAATTTGGGAACAGCCTACACATTTCTACAGAATAAACACATTTCTACAGAATAAAAATACAGAAAGTATTTTTAAAATATGACTTACATGTTTCGGATGTCATGGAAACCAAGAGGAACATAGATAGGAAGACCAAATGAACATACCCCATCATATTTCTAAACCAAAAAGAAAAACATTGATATCTCAGAATATACTCTGACTGCATCAGTTATGCTATTGCCACAGTACTGATGTACATCTACTAACAGATAATGGTATCATGCAGTGATAAACTGCACCATGTGAGCTGCTCTGTACAAAGTGTGTGTGTGTGTAGCAGTGGTTTTGCAGCTTTGAGATGATGCTCTTCGTTCTATAATCAATGCAATAGTTGATGTTGCATGGAAACTACTGTTATGACTTAGTTTTGGGGGATGGGGTAATTACTCTGCCATGGTGGGCCTCAGACAGAAGCCTCTTCTTGCTTGGTTGCTTTTTTTTAAGGAAGCTAAGTGTACATTGGCATTCTTGTCATAGTCAAGCATGGAAAAATTATACCTCAGTTTAGAAAAGAATAGATCCTGGATTTGAAAATATATACCCTGACTTTGAGTTAAGCTTACATCCAATTAACTGCTTAGGTGCACAACACCTTTTTGGCTTTCTATGGAAGTGCAGGTATCTTCAGTGACAGCTTCTCTAGGTAAGTGTTCTGCAGTAAGAACAAACCAGGTGAGTACTGTCAGCAATGCTAGCCTGAAGAGGAACTGAAGAAATGGACTGGAAAGGTAGGTAAAGTAACATATGTTATACTCGTGTAACAGCAGTAGAGCAGGTCCCGTGTCTCACTGATGTTTTCATTTGTGTCTAATTGATATGCACCTGCTGTAATTCACACCTCACAGTGTGGCTCAGGCATTCTCCAGCAAACCCCTTTATTAAAGAAACTGGCTATTAAGTGGACATTAAGTTGATCTAATCTAGGAATATCTCAGGAGACAGAAGACATGCAATCCGTCTATACTACACAGCTCTAAGCATTCTACTTACCATTAATAAACCCTTCGCTTGAACACTGTCCTTCACTGCAGATCACAGATCAGTAGGTTCTACTATGGTGTATGAGGAAGAAGCGCTCCCATGGTACAACCAGATACAAGATAAGTTTTCAAGAGAAACCAAATTAGAAACAAATTATAATTTATCTTGCAGATAGTGAGCACAAGATGAGTACTGAAAAATGGGCAAGAAAGGCACAGGCAGGGTAAGTACTGTCGTCACACTTACTGCAAGGAATTTTTATTTCAGTGCCAAAGATTTCCAGACTAAACAAACATTGACAGACCTTATCGAGACCTACATTTATGCCAAGTCTGAAATTCAGAACAAACTCGATTTTGAGCTTTCAGAAATGTCATTAGCTTTGATAGGAAAGTTTCTTCTTTTAGAAGGTTTAATAACATCCAGAGGCTTATTCTTAAACCCTTAAAAATAATAATACTTAGCGTTGGAAGAGAAAAGCGTGAGAATTTCAGTGTAGGTATTTTGCAGGGATACTCACAAATCACAGAAAAGATGAGGTTTAGACCGAAAACGCAGCATCCCAGCATTAATGTCACAGCAAGGCTGGTGCCATGCCTTTTACGGGAAGCGAGTGACCAGCCAGGAGCTCCTAGAAACAATGTGCATGAGGAGCTGCTTGCTTTCATCAGAGCTGGAGAAAAGCACCACGTACAAGCGCATGCAGTCTATTGCCTTCTTTAATTTTAAGGAAATCTTAGGCCAGGTTAACAGATTTTCAGAAGATACTTTTCAGCAAAACAAACATCAGGTGGTTTGCTCTGGAAGGAATGAACGAGCTGGCCCACAAGAGGGTTCAGGAGGGACCTGGGACAGGGTAGGCCCTCAGCGAAGAAAGGTACAGAGCAAAACAGCACACAACAAAATTCACAGTATCAACACAGCACAGCATTTGTCTTTGTCCATCCTTTAGAGCAAAAGGCTTGTTTCTAGAGCTTATTTCTGACACTAGCAGGGAGCAAACTAGATTGGCAGGTGGGAATGGGGAGTTGAGTTTCACATATCCCGATTATCAGAGGCCTGGGTCCAATTCAGGACCTAAACAGATTTGTATTTGCCAGCAACTCTGTTGACTTCATTCACCCGCTAAGGCCTACTTCGATCACAGTTGAAAAATGATATGGGGACTCATGGCTCCACATTCTCCTGAGAAAAAAAAGGGAGGTGCAAATGCCCTACACATATTTGGAAACCAGTTCACTATTCAGCTGATATGAGCAACCTTTGATAGATACGCGGTGTCTCAATCTCCTGAACAGCACATCAGGAGCAAGTGATGAAGGTTTCTCTGGCATGCTGCAGTGAGCACCTCATTTCCACAATCCATGAGATATCTACCCGTTCCATCTCTGTCTGTCTGGGTAAAATCGAAACACTGCTATCTAGCTCTAGTCTTTCTCAGATTGATTTTCCTTGACTTGGTTTCGCTAAGCCTTGTTATGATAGAGATCTGCTCTAAAACACCACTTCATTCTCTGCACTAATTTCCACTCTAGTTAACTGTCTTTCACTACTTGTTACTGTACCTAATCTTACTGGTTCAAATCAGCTTTGGTTAGCCGATGTCTCCCTTGTTTTTTTTTCACAGAAATTACTTTTTTCACTTGCAGGTCACAAGAGCCATTATTGATCATCCCCAATAATTCACCATCTCCAGATATACTTGTGACTTTGCTACTTAGCATTGGCTTATGCAGAGGAGACCTTTTCTTCCTAAAAGGTCCTTTTGTCCAGCCAAATGGCCAGTTTCGCAAGCTGACTTTAAACTGCTTGGTACCCACATACATCTGGAATGGCTCGCTTGTGTCGGAGAGGGACTGTCTGACATGTCTGGGGCTGCAGCAGGGTATATATATAGTCAGAAATAGTGGTATAGCAAGGGAAGGTGAATTCCTCCAAAGGGTATTTATGCAGCCTTCCAGAGCACTGTGCCATCAGATACTGAATGCCTACAGCATGCAAAATACATGTATGTGTATACACATAAGCAAATGTGATATGCAAAACACTAGTTGCAGCAGGGCTAGTTCATACAACTGAGATTAGATATGTCTATATCAACTAAGTCTCCGCAGTGAAGTCTCCAAACAGACCCCAAGAATCAGCTAAGTGAAGAACTCTAAGCTGAATAGTAAATAAAATTTGATATCATTAGATTATCTGAGTAATTAAATAGACATAAAAAATACTCAGAATATTCCCTCTCCGCTGGAAGCCTTTTCCCTCCAAGTGTTTGGTTCTGTTCCACGAACATATTTGCCCCCAGTGAGGTATACCAGCAGTTATACTAATTGTCCTACTACTTTTTAGAGCTATTTTGTTTAAGCAAGCAGATACTTCAGCATGAAGACAAAAAGTGAAGTGACAGATTTCTAAGGAAAATCAGTTTCATGGACTAGATTTGAAGACTGTCTGAAATGAGGTTCTTTCTCATTTGATATTTTATTTGTATGTGTCTGTTTTGTATTTGGTCACAACTGAAACCACTATTGGAGATACTGGTGAGTCCCTTATTGCCAGTGCTATCGCATCCCTAGAAATGGAAGGCTGGTGATTAACAAAAAGTTGCAAGAAGCTGTGCTTTCTCCACTTCTGAGATACAGCTTTGTCCAGGAATGGAGACAGCCGATTACTTGCCCTCACCAACTCTTCTAACAAGTGCCAGAATGATCCAGGAGTAAGAAATTTGTATTTGCCTATCATCGTACTTGCCAGTTGTTGTATTTAGCCTTCTGTTTCTTGAAAAAGGAGTCTTCAAGAGATCTTACACATACTGGGCTACCAGGCTGCACCGAAACAGTGAGAAATAGTTGTGCTGAAAGGACAGATTCTCCCCACGTAACTTTGATGATTGCTGTATTGATTTTCCCCCCATTTTTAAGTTGCCATGTATTGGCGGCAGATTAAGTAGAGTTTGGGGTTTGTGTGTGCGAACACGTGCAATATATGGGGCTCTAATTAAAGAGGAATGTTCCCTGAAAATACAAAGAGCTTGGGTAATTAAAAGAACAATGTGATTCTGTTTGCATTTTCCAAAGTCAGCAGCAAACTGCCAAATTACCTCAATAAAAACTGAGGCAGAGGTTGCAGTTCTAGGTAGCAAATTCAAGAGAAGCACTGGTTCACTAGTGCCTTACAGCTTGTGGCATTACTCAGAGCAAAGCAAAATGAAAGCATCCACACATCCGTGATACTTAGGTAGAATAAAAAGGCTATTAAGAGGCACAAGACAAAGTCACTAAGACACCTCGCACCCCACAATCAAAAGGAAGAAGTTCCTGTAGCTTGAAGCACTGAGAGACAAAGGCCACAATTTCTGCAGATAGTTATGTGTTTTCTGCTTTTGCAAATTTATTTAGAACTTATGTTTTATTACATTTGTCTGAAGTAGAACCTGTATAAGAGATTTTTGGGTTCTCAGTATACCATAAATTTAGACTGCTAATATTCAGGGGAAAAAAGATAAGGAGACATTTTCCATAAATCTCTTTCTTCCTATAGCTCACAAGAACTGTATGCAATGAGCTTAATCTAAGCTCTGTGAAGGAAAACTTCAGTATGATGCTGAAAAAGCACTAGATCCAAATGCAGAGATTTGGGATAACCACCTGAGTATGTCAAAACCTAGCCCCTAATGATCCAATATCAAAGGAAGATGAAAGAACTGGGAAGCCCCTACTTATGTTGCAAAAGCAGTAGTCCATAGGGCTTAACTCTTTCCTTCTCCAAAGGCAACTGTGTTAGTAACGTATTTGTGAGGTTTTTTTCCAAAATTGTATTTGGCAACAAACTGTTTATAGTACTGTTTATATAAGTGAACAAATGTTATAAAAGTACCATACCTTGCATGCTAACAAAACTTGGAAAAGTTATTACAATTTCTACTTTAAAAAGCTTAACAAACTTTATAAAGTAAACATACCATGAAATAGCAGTTGTTTACTAAGACATAGAATTCATTCATTCATGTTTTGAAAGTTATTTTCATTCTTTTATCAAACCAGAAAACCCATTCTGGCTGAAAATGGGCTATTAAAATAGCAACAGTAACACTGAACTTATTCCAGAACTAGTACTCACAATAGTTAACAC